TTAGCTTGTGATACATTCCATTCAAATGAAAGAAAATAATACATAAATCTGATTAAATTATTTTGTATTTGCACCTCCACCTATTAATTATCTCTAGCGTGTGATGTAGTTATTTTAAATCATATACGTTGTTGATATACACTAATAACCGTAATAAAATCTCGGTATTTGGGATCTACATATTAGAATTAACCTGTAAATGACAGGTGAGGATCCAGTGTGTGTGTGTGTGGGGAGACGGTACAACTATATCATAACTCACTGATCAGCCGCTACCCTATTATTAATGTGTTTTACTTATGAAAAGAAGGAATATTAATTTAGGAGATAACTCAACTACATCGCGTGTCAATCTTTGTATGTACAGAATGTTGTGTAGTAACTCTCTCTCTCTCTCTCTCTCTCTCTCTCTCTCTCTCTCTGCTAATCTATCTATTTATCCTATTATAAAAAATAAATATAATACCCACCAGGTTATATTAAAATACTATATATTCAACGAGCTTTGAGGTGAGATAATTAGGGGCATTTTATTAAAAAGGTATTTTACGTGAACGGGGTCTAATATTGACCTTTTATTAACGCAGCACGACCCCTCCCCCTCACACACACACACACACACACACACACACACACACACACACATACACACACACAGACACACACACACACACACACACGTGATTTATGTGGCAAGAATAGAGGGTCGACTTATTATTGTGAATAATAATAATAATAATAATAATAATAATAATAATAATAATAATAATAATAATAATAATAATAATAATAATAATAATCATAATAATGGGAACTATCAATGGGACAATAACACCAAGGCAAACCATTAATGAGAATATAAAATGGGCACAGATAATGGGTACAGGAGGAGGTGATAATAGGGTCATGACTACAAGGCATCATTACACTGGTAGACAAGTCACCCCATTAGTTTCGTCAATTTATGAATAATTAATTAATGAGGATTTTGTCGAGGACCGATTTTATTGTATGAGTGAAAATAGCGGTTAAGTTCCATTGTGTGAGTACCTGTCTGTGTCTGTCAGTCTTTGTCTCTATGTCTGTCTGTCTGTCTGTCTGTCTCTACGTATGGCAGCGAGTGGTAGAGAGAGGGGAGGGGAATGGAGAGATGCGGATGGGAGGAGAAGGAAGGGGGGAGAGGGAAGGTAGGGAAGACGAGGGGGAGATGGGAGGGGAGGGGAAAGGAGGGGAGGGGAAAGGAGGGGAGGGAAGGGGAGGAGAGGAGGAGGTAGGGAAGAATAGGAGAGAGGGGAGGGAACGGGGAGAGGGGAGGGGAGGGGGAGAGGGGAGGGGAGGAAGATGAAAGAGGTTACCTATAATTGCTTTACAGACTCGAGACCGGAAGTTGCAAGCCAGCTACCTGCAGATACTAATGAGGTAGAACTCTGACAGGTGCACGACTCTCTCTCTCTCTCTCATCTCTTTCAAACAGTCATGACGGGTCTGCAGTGAGTACATATTTGAAAGACTGATTTAAATGATTATCGCGTTCACGCACTCGTGTGTACTCGCGCGCGCGCGCGTGTGTGTGTGTGTGTGTGTGTGTGTGTGTGTGTGTAATAGTAATAATAATAATAATAATTAACGGTTTATTGAAAAAAATTCTGCAGCCCGAAGGCTGAAAATATACATTGGACATAAATGACTTATTACATACATTGGTGGTTTAACAAAAGCCTTCATTAGAGAAAGGTAAAGGAACATACAGTGAACATACAGATTAATGTAGGTGTTGAACAGCAAACTCGTAGTGTAGTAACTCCCTCCCAGATGGTGTTAGGAGGAACTCACGTGGTGTAGTAGTTCCCTCAGATGGTGTTATGAGGGACCTGGCGTGGTGTAGTAGTTCCCTCAGATGGTGTTATGAGGGACCTCACGTGGTGTAGTAATTACCTCACAGATGGTGTTATGAGTGTGTGTGTGTGTGTGTGTGTGTGTGTGTGTGTGTGTGTGTGTAATTTTCGGTCACAGCACAATGTTTTAAATTGAAAAACACATCTGGTAATTTATAACAATGTACAATGCATTTAAAAGGCTGAAATAAGCGATGGATATAATTGACACTTTGAGGATTGTAAACACATATATGCTAATTGGGGATATGTAAATCCTGTATATCTCGGTCATCACACAATCTTTTGACATGCAAATTTTATATCTCTTAATGGATATTTGTACACATGTTCATATACGTACATGGAGAAACTCTAAACCATTATTGGTAACATATGTGTGTATGTATGCCACACACACACACACACACACACACACACACACACACACACACACACACACACACACACACACACACCTCCCGCATCGCCACAACACCGTGAAGTGCAACGTAATTAATGATTCTCCACCTGCCACACCTCTCACTTGACTCCTGTCTTCAAGGAGGAGGTGGTCAGTGAGGTGCCCTTTGTACACGACAGAGAGAGACCATCACTCAACAAATATATTTCCTATTATTATAATAATAATAATAATAATAATAATAATAACAACAACAATAATACATATATCATTATTCTGATCATAATCAATTTACACACAAATATATACATCACCACTATGACCATATGAACGTATTAACAATCTATTACCTATAATGGCTCATCAATGTATATATATATATATATATATGTATAAACAGTGTATTAATGGCGCACCAATAAACACGTAAAGAGTATATTAATGGTGCCAATGTTTAAAAAAATCGTATAATATTTACATTAACGATCTAAAGTTGTAATGAACCTTCGTTATCTATAACACAATTTCTTTTTAAATTTTCGACTGTTCCACTTTTTTGTAATTTGACCTAATTATGCGCGTGTAATCATCAATACTTTATTATTATTATTAATTATTTAGTAAACATCAAATCATTAAAATTATTGTATATATTTTCACTACTTTTCTATCAAATTACTTTTCAACTTTCATGCATATAAGTCTCTTTATATATGTATTTAGTTATATATTTTTGCACTCTATTACAATGTTACCTTTAATTAATTTACAAACACAAGGTAGCCTCCACCCCCGTCTCTACCTGTCGCCAAATTTAGGTGGGTCAATTAAATCAGTGAAGGGTCCCTGTAGCCTGATGGCCGGACGCGTTTGTAGAGTCAAGTGAATTGCCGGCTTTTATGTCCGGTGTCCTTTGTGTCCTACCGGTGTCCAGTGATCTTCCCCATTAACCCCATTACTGACCCATTATTTCCCATCATACCTGGAAATTGTCAAAGGAATGGGTGCTCCACTAAGCTCTGTATGGCGCCAATAGGACTTTAGGTTAGGTTAGGTTAGGTGAGGTGAGATGAGGTCAGGTTAGAATTGTTTTTGTTAGGTTAGGTTAGGTTCTCTCCCTTACAAACCCATTATTTTTATATCCTCCATTATTTACTTGGTAGGTACAAGTTTCCATTACTCCCCATTCGTTACTATTGTCCCTTATCATGTCCAGTGTCTAACAACCATGGTCCAAACTCAACATATTACATATTTCACTGAGTACATTAGTTACCAATAATAGTACATGACAGACAGACAGACAGACAGACAGACAGACAGACAGACAGACAGACAGACAGACAGACACAAACAGCAGACAGACAGACAGACAGATACAGATAAGATAGATAGATAGATAGATAGATAGACAGGTAAACGTAATTTTCCCCGGTTTAATTTAAGATAATCGTGTATATAACTAACTCGGTATTAAATGTACACAATATAGCCATTAACACCTCACACACACACACCTTTAATAATCAGAGGTAAGGTTACTCCCTGCTCCTTAACTAGAATTATAAAATGAAATGAGAGGAACACACAAACATTTATTCTAACAGTGTTTATAATTTGTTTTAATATAATGTTAAAATGTTTGTAGTTTTCTATATGTAAACAAAAATATAAAAGCTATATTAATCAATCAGTTAATTTAAATCTTCTGAATTAAAATAAAAGTAATAATAGAAATCAAGAGAAAAATATTAAATTTAGATAAACTAAATTTAGTCTTTTAATTCGTTACATTTTTAGGTTTTTATTCAAATTAAAATCGTAACATGGATTTATTCGTCGTTATCTTCATTTAATAATACTAAAAGAAAAATTACCGGGTCAAAATGTATTCAGGAAATTAACTTTAATTTTAAATTCCAATATTATGTTTAATCGCGGTATTCATTATATATATAAAAATGCGAATTAGAATAAAATTATTTCCACTTTTATTCACTAAAAAACTAAATACTCTAAATAATCCAACTCAAAATTGCAAATAAATTTATTCACGCCATAACCCCCCCAAAACCCCCAGTAATTTAACCTCTAAAATGTCAATAAAATTAAAACCCTGTCAATCATTACAATAAGAACTTGTTTGACTTTATTCACTAATTTATCTCTCGATTTATAACTTTTCAATATGATTTTAATCCGGGTTATTCAAACGTTGTACTGCCTTAGTTTGTGGGGGCAGGTCACATCAACACCCTCCTCCCTCCTCTCTCCTTCTTTTCCTCCCTCCTTACCCCCCTCCTTCCCCTCCCTCCTCCCTCCTCCTTCTCCCCTCTCCTCCCTGTAAATAATTTCTGTTCATGACAACTGGCTCGGCGGGAGGCGGGGAATTACCACCTAGCATAGTTTATATATTATGTGTACATGTGTAGGTGTACGTAGAGTAATTGAATATATGTAATGTTAGTGTGTGTGTGTGTGTGTGTGTGTGTGTGTGTGTGTGTGAGTCTCACTGCCCAAGTCTGATAAATATAACCTTATGATTTTGAGTCGAAAATACATACATATACATACATATTATATACTCTAGTAAAGCTCTCTCTCGTGTGCTAATAAAATACGTGGAAGCAAGAGGCCAGAGACGGGCGGTGGCTGGAGCGACCAATTAACACAGGCTTTAAGGCCTTTATGGGGCGAGCAAAATGATGTTCCCTCGACGACGCCGCTGCCACTACCCGCGTTGTTCTGGTCGGTCGCCTGGAGACCCGATGGAGGGGGGCGACACAGGAGTTGCTGGTGCTGTTACTGTCGTTGTTCTTATTGTTATTATTGATATTTTTTGCTGTTGTTGTTGATGCTGTCATTGTTGTTGTTAGTGTTGTGATTTCAGTTGTTGTTGATGCTGTTAATCCTGTTATTGTTGCTGTTCCAACTGATGTTCTTGCTGTTAATGCTGCCATTATTTATGTTCTTAATGAAGCTGTTACTGTTTTTGCTGCAGCTACTACTGTTCTTGCTGCAGCTACTACTGTTCTTGCTGCAGCTACTTCTGTTCTTGCTGCAGCTACTTCTGTTCTTGCTGTAGCTACTTCTGTTCTTGCTGCAGCTATTTCTGTTCTTGCTGCAGCTACTTCTGTTGTTGCTGCAGCTACTTCTGTTGTTGCTGCAGCTACTACTGTTCTTGCTGCAGCTATTTCTGTTCTTGCTGCAGCTACTTCTGTTCTTGCTGCAGCTACTTCTGTTCTTGCTGCAGCTACTACTGTTCTTGTTGCAGCTACTTCTGTTGTTGCTGCAGCTACTTCTGTTGTTGCTGCAGCTACTGTTCTTGCTGCAGCTATTTCTGTTGTTGCTGCAGCTATCACTGTTCTTGCTGCAGCTATTTCTGCTGTTGCTGCAGCTACACTGTTCTTGCTGCAGCTACTTCTGTTGCTGCTGCGCTACTTCTGTTGTTGCTGCAGCTACTACTGTTCTTGCTGCAGCTATTTTCTGTTCTTGCCGTGCCTACTTGTTCTTGCTGCAGCTACTTTGTTCTGCTGCAGCTACTACTGTTCTTGCTGCAGCTACTTCTGTTCTTGCTGCAGCTACTACTGTTCTTGCTGCAGCTACTTCTGTTTTTGCTGCAGCTCTTCTGTTCTTGCTGCAGCTACTTCTGCTCTTGCTGCAGCTACTACTGTTCTGCTGCAGCTACTTCTGTTCTTGCTGCAGCTACTACTGTTCTTGCTGCAGCTACTGTTCTTGTTGCAGCTGGTTGTCATGGGTTGCGTTGGGCCTCCCACACAACCCATCCCAAATGTTTGTTTAGGTAGAGATAAGGTACCCGGCCAGCCGATAGGGGTCATCTCACGCCTCAAAACCACATTTTAGTCAGTGGGCTTTAGACCTTGGGTGACAGTAGACCTCCTGCTCCGTGGACTTAGAACAGGGGCCATACAGTCCTATCAGTGCTACGAGTCTGTGTGCAAATCCCCGAGATTGTTGTTAAGTCCAGCGAAAATTTAACGCATCCTGTAAAGGAAGTGATCACTGGTGAGGGCCTGTTTGCTACAAGAGCACTCCAGGCCGGCCTAATAGATCTAACGATTAATTCTCCAGGTTGACAAACTCTCCCTTATAACTTACGGTACTGTGGCGCGAATGTGAGTGACTGACCTATCCATGCAAATTATAAGTCCAGTGTATGGAATTGTGCCAAATAAACGTAAGTGCAATTATGTGCCCGTATCTGTGACCCCCCTTTATCATTATTATTACCAAAGGTGACTGATTGGTTATGACAAAGTATAACCAATAACTTAGATGGATGTTGGAAGTTAATGGAATTCATTAAATCATCATTTATCAAGTACACAACGCATTGAATGCTGGAAGCAGAGTGAAATTCTACGTAGTGATACACCATAATCTCCTGGGTGAGTAATCAGTGTGAAGGTATCTGAGTTCTCCGGTAAGAAAACCACTTTCTTGCATTTAAAACCTAACACTGGTATTTGCCGCTAGGAATATATACATCAGTGGTGTCAACGCTGCAAGTCCTCCTTTCTGTTGGCTGGTGCCGTTGATTACTGACCGCCTCATCTGTTGTGACTGATGCCGGTATATCCTGTTGCTGCTGCTGTTACGTGGATGGTGCTACCCGAGTTGTTATAACTGATACTGTCATTGCTGTTATGATACCTGTTTCAGTAGAGAGAGGAGGCGGTGGTGGAAGAGTTACGGGTGGTATTAGTGGTAATGGTGGTGGTGGTGGTGGTGGTGGTGGTGGTGATGGTGGTGGTGGTGGTGGTGGTCGTGTTAGTAGAGGGGACGAGTTGTAGTTTTGTCGTCGTGGCTGGACTATGTATCGAAACTTCCGGCTGTGTGGTCTCGCTACGGTCTCGGTCTAGTGGCCTTAATGACGTTGCCGTCGGGGAGGTTTTTGTATATATGTGACTCATTATCATCTGCCGGTGGAGGGGAGCTCTGGGTCCTCTCTCCCAAACTCTCGTAAGGTAAAATTTTATATTTTCTTCCCTTAACTGAGGATAAGAAACACTTCTATTTACTATAGTCTCAAAGCAATCTCGACCCCATTTTGGCCGCTAGTTTTACAGCAAGGTTTAATTGTCCCTTTTAGCTGCGTTTTCACGTCTCAAGTCAAGAGAAAAACTTTAAATTACGAACCTTAGAGACTCCGGGTCGGGGTGCAGAGCTTAGCCAGCCATGATGGACGATCGTTTTGTTTTTATATCTTAAAAAATATTTTTCTGGACTTGTTTTAATCCCTCGAGGAACTGTGGGAGCGTGTAGGATACTGGGCTACGAGTGAGTCGTCCCGGAGGACTTTGGCAGCATTGAGAGAGTGTGTAAAGAGGATATTAGAACATCAGGTCTTTCTGAGGAGACTTTGGTAAGGCCAGGGAGCGTGAACGACATTGGAACACAGGGCTCTTCTGGGACACTTTCACAGCGTCTAGGAAATGTGTACAACAATGAGAAATTAGGTCCTGGTGGCACCAAGGACGTGTGAAGGAGGTGAATGGAACATTAAGTCCTTCGGTATAGACTATGTTAATGGCCTACGGAGTGTATTGAACATCATAGAGTTCAAAGGCACGTGTAACCATTCAGAAATTGAGTCCTTCTGGAAAGCCTTGGTAACGTCGAGGAAGTGTGATAGAGGTTATTGGAACAATAGGTCCTTCGGGGTAGGTGGTGGCAGCGCCTAAGTACTGTGGAGGACATCGGGTAATGATTAGAGTCTCTAGAGATGACTGAGGCAGCCTCAAGGGAATGTGATAAACAGGACAGTGTGTCAAGGTGCAGGAAGAGCCTCTGTAAGATGCTGAAGGCATTACAACCATTCCTGAAAACAACGACAGCTCGGGTAATACAACATGCTCTTGGTAGCCACACCGCACTCCATCAAGCATAAAATTAAATCGAAAAGGAAAAAATAAAGATGTTTCGAAGTATAGAAACTCTGAAACGGATCTTTGGATACCCAGTGGAAAAGCCGCAAGAGGAGGGGACGTTGTGGTGTGATGCCGTGACGTGGAGTGTCGTGTAGAGTCTGGAGTCGACAAAGGAGTGTTCAGTAGAAAGAGGTCCTATGTCAAGGGGTCGCCGCATCACAGAACACAGTCCTGGAACTCTGCATCACTAGACACAATCCCGAAGGTGGTGGAACTGGAGTCGCTGAGTCAGGCACCACTGCGCCAGGCATCACTGCGCCAGGCACCACTGCGCCAGGCATCACTGCAGGGCGAGGAGCATCACTCGTCCGGATATGGCTGCCTCTCGTTAATCACAACACGGCCGCCATTACCACGATGACCACCAAGGCTGAAAAGGCGGGGCCTTTACTGCTACTGTTGCCGCTGCTGTGGCTGTTGCTGTATTACTTCTATGACTGTTATGAGCGTTACAGTAGTTACCCTATAGCTGTCAGTGCTGTTACTTTACAGGCGATGCAGTGCTAACAAGGCGGACACCGGCATTCACATAACACCTGTAACCAAAGGTACCTCGCACAACAACCAGATCAACTAGGCTGTTCCTCCCAGCGGCCCGTAACCAACACGACCATTAACAAGACTCTGAATGACCCAGAGACCCTCGATGAAACCTATCTAAGTCTCCCCTGAAGACCTAAAGATCTCAAAAGTCATCCCGGCATAAGTTTTCTTATCTTCAGGTAATAAAAAGCGAAAATCCCTTTCCCTCTGCAGGCCTCACAGGTTAACACATCAACGTGGTATATGTGTGTGTGTGTGTGTGTGTGTGTGTGTGTGTGTGTGTGACAGATGATTATGGAGCTGATCTTTGATGACTTTCCAAGCGAAAATCATGAAGTACTTCTCGTGTCTGTGTTTAAAAGGCGTTTCAGCGTTTGAGAGAGAACAGTCCGAGTACTTTGAGGCATTACAGGGTGAACATTAGTGCTTAAAACTTAAAGCGGAGTGAAGTTTGAAAGCTTAATGGGGTCCAGGGAGTACAGTCCAAAAACTCAATGGGGTCAAGGGGGGTACAGTTCAAAAGCTTAATGAAGTCCAGAGGATACAGTCCAAAAGCTTAATGGGGTCCAGGAGGTACATTCCAAAAAGCTTAATGGGATCCAGGGGCACAGTCCCAGTACTCAATGACGCTGTACAGTCGAGTTCTTAAAGGTGTTTAAAGTAGCAGTTGTGGCCCTCAGGTCGTGATGACACTGACCTCACGTAATAACACTAATGTCCGTGGCATCATTAACCCCGGTCACTGGCACTCAAGTTCCTATTACTGTGACCTCAGAGGTTACTGCCACTGTGACCTCGAATGATCCTGTGTGTGTGTATGTGTTGGTATGGATATGTGTGTGTGTGTGTGTGTGTGTGTGTGTGATTGGTGGTAGTGTGGGATTTAGGTGGTGCTGGGTGGGGTGGGTGATTCCTGGAGTAGGGGATGTGGGTGGCATGGGTGAGTGTGGTGGGTGGTGGCGTGACGACCGACCATCGCTGTACAAGGACACAGAGAGTGGTCGCCTCCATGACGAATGGCTGGGCTGAGGTACTCGTTTACTCCACCACCTTCCCTCCTCCTTACCCTCCTTCACCACCTTCCCTCCCCTCCTTACTCTCTCTTCATCACCTTCCTCCTCCTTACTCTCTCTTCACCACCTTCCTCCTCCTTACCCTCTCTTCTTGCCTTCCCTCCTCCTTACCTTCCTTCCACCACCTTCCTCCTGTACCCTCCCTTCCTGCCTCCTCCTCCTTACTCTCTCTTCTACCTTCCTCCTCCTTACCTCCCTTCTACCTTCCTCCTCCCTTACCTTCCCTTCACCACCTTCCTCCTCCTTACCTCATACCACCTTCCCTCCTCCTGCCTCCCTTCTACCTTCCCTCCTCCCTTACTCTCTCTTCACCACCTTCCCTCCTCCTTACCCTCTCTTCCTACCTTCCTCCTCCTTACTCTCTCTTCACCACCTTCCTCCTCCTTACTCTCTCTTCATCACCTTCCTCCTGCCCACTCTCTCTTCTACCTTCCCCCTCCTCCCTTACCCTCCTTCACCACCTTCCTCCTCCTTACTCTCCTCTTCATCACCTTCCCTCCTCCTTCTCTCTTCACCACCTTCCCTCCTCCTTACCCCTCCCTTCACCCACCTTCCCTCCTCCTTACTCTCTCTTCATCACCTTCCCCTCCTCCCTTACCCTCCTTCCACCACCTTCCCTCCTCCTTACCCTCCCTTCACCCTTCCTCCTCCTTACTCTCTCTTCATCCCACCTTCCTCCTCCCTTACTCTCTCTTCACCACCTTCCCTCCTCCTTACCCTCCTTCACCACCTTCCCTCCTCATACTCTCTCTTCACCACCTTCCTCCTCCCCTTGCCCTCTCTTCACCACCTTCCTCATCATACTCTCTCTTCACCACTTTCCCTCCTCCTTACTCTCTTCTACCTTCCCTCCTCCTTACCCTCTTCAACCCTCTGTGCCCCCACCCCACCCTCCTTTCCTCTATCCTCGCTATTCATACTTCCTATTTCCTTCTTTTCTCCCATCCACTTCCCTTCTTTCCTTCCTCGCTCTCTCTTATCTCCCCGTCCATTCCTTCCATCTCCCCTCCCTCCTTCTCTGGTTGTCTCCCTCCATCCTCTATTTCCCTTCCTCCTCACTTCCACTCCATCCTTCATCCTTATCTATATCCCTCCTCCCCCTTTTCTCCCCCCCACCCATCATCTACCTCCCCCACTCACTACCACTCAGATGCCACACCCTCGCAAGGAACTTCGAAGAGGGAGGAAAAGAGGGAAGGTGACGACTGAGGCGATAAGGGGGAGGGGGGACAAGATGTATAAATAAATGAGAGAGAGAGAGAGAGAGAGAGAGAGAGAGAGACCTGATTCTGCTCGTTTCCTTGAACTGTTTTGCAACCTCCCTCACACACACATGCGCACACATACATACACCCCACCCCACACACACACACACACACACACACGCGCGCACACACACACACACACACACACACACACACACACACACACACACACACACACACACACACACACACACACACACACACACACACACACACACACACACACACACACACACACACACACACACACACACACACACACACACACACACACACACACACCATCCTCAAACACATATCCCCACACACCAATATACAATAAATACTCCTCTCCAATCAGCTGGGAAAACACACCTCATCCGCCCACCTGGTGATAAAAATCCCCACTCAAACGTTTGTAGGAACGTTCATGGTGTTGACTTAGGCAGGATAACACTGTCGCTCGATGCCGATGTTCAAGATAACTTTGTTTTTATTTTGATTCGTCAGACGACGTTTGGAGAGAGATTGGTAATTCGCTCTCATTAGCCTTTTGAAATCTGTATAGGTATTTGTGTTACTTGACATAGTTCTAAAACAACAAATGTATATATATTAATAACGTAGATGGAATGGAGTCCCTTACAGTCCCTATAACTGGGTCATTTGTTGGGAAAAATGGTCCTCGTTTATAAGACAAATGAACCAACATTTAGTGGTTGTATTGGCGAGCAACTGTATGTGCATTTATGTGTTACATATAGATATACAGTATATATATATATATATATATATATATATATATATATATATATATATATATATATATATATATATATATATATATATATATATATATATATATATATATATATATATATATATATATATATATATATATATATATATATATATATATATATATATGCGTGTACGTGTGCTTGTCTGTTATGTATATCTCTCTGTGTGTAGGAGTCTATATACACACACACACACACACACACAAACTCGAAATATTGGTCCATGCAGAAGTTTTCATAACTCGAACATCTGCCAAATTCAATACTGTCCTTCCTGAGCGTCTTCGTCGACCTTCTGTATCACACTAACCTCTTAACCTAACCTAACCTAAGCCAAGTTACCCTAACCTAACTTATTCTAATCCAGTTTAACTTAACCTAACCCAAGTTACTTTAACCTAGCTAAACCTAATCAAATTTAACTGAACCTAACTTAATCTACCATAAATTAACAATATAACGTAATTTAACATCGTCTCTGTATGGTGTAAAGGCTTAAAGAACCTTGAGTTACATGAGACTGACTTAGTAGTACCATGGTGGGGTGTGGTGTAGTACAGGGGGGGTTGTCTGTGTACCGGACCTCTCTTCTAACTCACTGACCCACTTACTTATTCATTCACTCACTCCTTCGCCCACCGACTCATTCATTCACTCCCCCCTTCGCTGACTCATTCATTCACTCCCTCCTTCGCTCACTGCCTCACTCATTCACTCACCACTACCACTCTTCACTGACTCATTCATTCATCGATCGTTCATTCATTCACTCCCTCACTAACCCATTCACTCCACAAGCTGGCCTCCAACCCTTCCTCTAGAGAGAAATCTTAACTGGTCTTTTATGCGTCACTTACCACAACTACTACCAACACGCCTACCAACCTACCACCTC